ACCTAGGCAGGTGCTCTGACTGGAAATCAAACCAGCGTCCATTTGGTGCATGGAGGACACCCAACCAAAAAAGCCACACCCACCAGAGCTATTACTCCCATTTTACAGTGGAGGAATATAAGTAGAGGTCACCCAACTTGCCCAAGGACCCTCACCTGGTAATGTTTAGAGCCCAAACTAGAACTCAGGTCTGTCTGATCTCCAGATGTAGGTTTTTCCCACTGTCCCACAGACTGCTTAGAACCCTATATTTATCTGAGTCAGAAGGCCCTGGTCACAGAGGCTGGAGGCTGAGAGCAGGAAGAGGAGCGGTCTCCCTGCCAGATCACTCCTAGTACCTACCTCACAGGTGTACACACACACCTCAGCCCCAGAAATTCCTTCAAAGCAGCTCAGGGTCAGCCCTCACATCAACTCTTGGCTCAGAAAGGGGGTGTGTGGAAGGTTTTTTCCTGTAGGATCCTGGCCTGTGCTGAACCTATTGACAGTGTAGCCCTCAGCCTGAAATGGGTAGGGGAATCCTCCCCTGCTCCTCCAGCTTATTCGGGATAAGGGGAGTTTTCAGAAAAGGGCTCCTCACAGGCCTTGAGGGCCATTTGCAGGCCTTATTGTTACAGGCCTCAAATTTAGACTTCTGATGTTATCTCTAAGTATGGTTACAGACATTCACACTGTTACTCTCTAATAGAACAGAAAGAAGGGACTTAGCATATAAGTGATTTAACTTTTACTATGGAATTTTCAAATATATACAAAAGCAGAAAGAATCATACAATGAATCTGATATACCCATCATCATAGGACTTTACATTATAAAATAGGGCCTACAGTTCCCCATGAAGGATAATTTCTACAAATCCTGTAATGATCTGTGACTAGCAAGAGCATTACATTGTAGTATGATTTTGTATTAAAAAGTGTTCATTTGTTCAATGTAAACATTTCAAACATGCCTCAGTTTTTCTTCATTTTGAAGCATATCTGGCCCTGGCTGGGTAGCTCAGTTGGTTAGTGTCATCCCGGTACACCAAGGTTGCAGGTTTGATCCCTGGTCAGGGCACACACAAGAAACAACCAAAAGCCCTGGCCAGTGCGGCTCACTTGGTTGGGCATCGTCCTGTGCACCAGGAGGTTGCCAGTTCGATTCCCAGGAGGGGTTTCCAGGTACACCCCCAGCTGGGGGTGTACGGGAGGTGGCGGATCGATGTTTGCTCTCACATCACTGTTTCTTTCTCCCTTCCTCTCTCTCTAAAAAGTCAAAATCACTTATTCATGCATTCATTGGTTGTTTATTTCTCTTTTAAAAGAATAGTTTAAGCCCTGGCCGGTTTGGCTTCAGCCCACAGACCAGAGTCTCAGGTTCAGCATGTACCTCGGTTGCAGTTTGTCCCCGGCCCCGGTTGGGGTCGTGTTGGTGGCAACCACTCAATGTGTCTCCCTCACATCGATGTTTCTCTCTCTCACTTCTTCCTTCTCTCCCTCCCACTCTATCTGAAGATAAATGCAAAAAAACAAAACAAAACAAAAAAGTGTCCTACAGTGAGGATAAAAAAAAGAATAGTTTAAGTGGAACAACTAATGTTTCTCTCTCTCTCCCTTCCTCTAAAATCAATAAATAAAAAATTTTAAAATAAAGTGTATCTGAAGCCTCAGTAGTTGAAGGGAGCTGGACCTCTCCAAATCTTTTGGAGGGCCTGTCTCCAGGGAGCAGTTGCTGAGGACTGTGGGCCAATCTCCCATATCCCAGGTTGCAGAGCCCAGGGTGGGAACAGCTGGCTCTACACTGTGCCAGAGGACAGGCCTGCGGCAGATGATGCGAGTGCCTAATTCCTGGGCCAGTCAGGAGCCTCTCCCCCTGCCTGTACACGAACTCGACCAAACAGCATTACAGTGCAGCCTCTGTCTGGCCAGCTTGCTCTCAGCTCTGTCTGCTGTCAGCTGTCCGGGTGGGATTTGGGATATTGGCCCTACCCCATGAGCAACTTCCAGTCTGCTGGGAAGAAGGCAAAGAAATGTATCTGGCCCTGGCCAGTGTTTCCCAGTGGTTAGAGTGTCAGCTGGCACACCAAAAGGTCAAGGGCTCAGTTCCCTGTCAAGGGTTCAATTCCCAGTCAAGGACATGTACCTGGGTTGCAAGTTCAATCCCTGCCCCAGTCAAGGCACCTGCAGGTGGCTACCAATTGATGTGTGTGTCTCTCTCTCACATGGATCTTTCTCTGGAGCTTTCTCTCCTCCTCCCTCCCTCCCTTCCACTCTCTCTAAAAAAAAAAAAAAAAAATCAATGGAAAAACATCCTTGGGTGAGGATTAATACACACAAAAAAGAAATGTATCTGAAGTGGAGCAATGAAAATGTCACCAACCTCCTGCACAAGGGTTCTGGCCATTGTTTGCTTAGGAGGTGGCTCTGTGGGTGACCCTACGTCAAGGAGTGCACACAGGGCTGGCCAGCCCAGAGGTCCCAGAGGGCAGGGCCTCCAGTTTCCCATTCTTTCGTGGTTCCCACAGTGCCCAGGGCCTGCTGGGCTCACAGTGAACTTCAATGCTCGCTTTTGACTGAAAATTTCCCCTTTGTATCTGTCTCTGTGTCTCTCAGCATCTCTGCCTCTAATAGTCTCTGGCTTGCTCCTGTTTCCCAACATCCTTCTCAATCCCCTGGGAAGCAGACCTGGGGCGGGGGAGCGGGCAGTGGGAAGGCGACTGCGTCCTGTTCTCACCAAGGACAATAAGGGCCGGAAAGGGCTAGCCTGACTCGAACTCCCCCTCCCTGCCCACCCTGAGCACCCCCACTCTGCCCTGACCCTCTATTGTGCCCTGCATGCCAGGTGTGACCTCATGCCAGTGCCAGTCCAAGGGAAGTCCAGCCTCCTGTTGGTGGTACCACCTCCTGCTTCAAGGGGTGCCCTGCTGGGCCAGTATCCCCATTCATATCCCCTCCCCCTGTATTATTTACTCCTGTTTCCGGAGCAGGCACGGGTGTCCGGGCCACGCGTGAGGGAGCAAGAGGCAGGAGGAAACATCTGGCTTCCCTCAGCCCTCCTGGGGTGGGACAACACTCTCTCCCAGGCCTCCAGACTCAGGGTGAAACAGAGCCCCGGGAGTCCAGGGGCCCAGAGGTGAGCACCCTTGCCCTTCACACCTTCAGGTCTCCAGAAGCCACATGGCCTCCCGCCCCCTTATGTAATGATGGTGCTAGGAGGCTGGGATGCCTGTGCCAGGGTTAATTGGTAGGTCAGGTGCAGTCAGCCTGCAACTAGGAACCCCAGAGATAGGCTGGGTGGAGGGCCAAGGTCGGCGCCAAACTGCCTTGTAAATACATTCCCTGAGGAAGGGGTCATTATTCCTGGGACACCTGCTGTCCCTGTTGCCTACGCAGTGGCTGCCCTGGCACCTGCTCTTCAGCTCCTCCCCACCCTCCTCTAGTCTGGCCCCACCCAAGCTCACTCGGGAGGCAAGGTGCCCTCAGGTGGGCAAATACCCTCAGCTGTGTTATGCTCACCTGGCCTGGGACCTGGCCTTCTGCCCACTGCTCCCACCCCAGGTCAGGACAAAGTCAAGGTTTGACAGAGTGAGACCCAGATGCAACCCAGGCTCCTCATAGGTCCAGGGCCCATTTTAGACAGCCTCTCCTCCTCCCCGGCGGGTCCCACATACTGCAACCCCCAACTATCACCAGGTAAGGTGGAACCCAGAGCCATTCCCTCATGGAGGCTCTGGTTTCTATCGAACTCTTTGCCTCCGCTCCCAGCCTAGGAGCAAGACTTGATCCAAGTGAGCTATTCTTTTGGGTCATCCAAGAAGGTTGGCTTCCACTGGAAACACAGAAGCAATCCTCCCAGCCCTCAGGGTGGGCTTGCAAGGGAGATCATTGCTAGTCTCCTGGAGACAAGCTCATGGCGCCCTCTGCAGGCACACTGGGTAAACTGCATAGCACTTCCTCAGTCTAGGGAGGAGAAAGGATTTGAGATTCCAGCCAGAAGTAGAAGTGGGTGAATGGGTGTGTGTGGGTGTGTGGGGCTGTGTTGGGGGGGAGGGAGGGGAGGGCTCTAATCCTTGACCGGAACTCCTCTGACACTTCTCTTCATTGGGTCTCCTTCCTTCACTTAGGCACATCCCATGTACAGGATTTTCTGTTCTAGAATGGCAAGTTCTTCCAGACAACCCACCAGTCTTTACTGCCCATTATCAGGCACCATGGAGAACACAAAACTGACCAAGGCACTGTGCACACCCAAATGCCCACACCACCCAGCCGGAGAGAGGGTGCCTAGGTGCGCCAAAGGACGGGTACTCTGAACAGAGAACCTGAGAAGGCACAACTTTCATGTCTATCAAGGATGGCTCCAAGGTATACAGCCTTGTCCCTCTCGTTTTCTATACTTTGCTAAAACTTAGAAAGTTCCTAATCTCTTGGTTATTAGAGAAGAAAAATGAAGGCACCAGAACAAAGGGGGCAGGGCAGTGATCAACCTTGGGAGTCTCTAAACACAGGCATGTGTCCATGCTGGGGTAGAAGAGATGGGGCTAGGCAGGCGACAGCAGTAGGGAATCCCACCCACAGACTTGGAGCAGAAAGGGCAGGGGCCCATTTGCTGAATAACAAAGCTGGGGGTAACAGCCCCCACAGGTATAAAGGGAACCCCAGGGAGCGGCGTAGGGTGAGGAGCCTTTCCTTCCCTTAGTCTTCTGTTCCAAGATCTCTGCCAGTTCTGACAGGCCTTCCTGCACAGCGGCCTTTACTCCTTTACCAAATTCAAGACACAGATCCACTGGTACACTTTTCTTCCACGATGAAACAAGCGTATGCCACTCCAGAGTCTGGCAAAGTCCCTGGCCACTGATGGCACTCTATAAATATTTAGCAAAAAATTAACCTTAGTGGAAGGAAAGTCACACCATCCCTAAGGTCTGAAAACAGCAAGAACCCATGTGTCCTAACGTTCTGTACACCCATGCAGGCATTGGCCAAAGAGGGCTGCGGCTTATCACAGCTCACAGAGCTACAAAGAATCAACTTTATTGGGTCTTCAGGGTCAGTTTCTCTTTTTGCTCTTGCCAGTGACCTTGGCTGGTGTGAGGACTGGAGTTGTTGCCTGATACAGAGTAGAGGAGATCTTGTTGATGTAGTACAGACCAACCATGGAGAAGATGAAGCTACAGGGTGAAGACAAAAAGGTCATGACATCAGTGTTCATGCTGCCAAGCTGGTGCCTCCCAGAACAGACATCAGCATCAGGGAAACAATCCAGGCTCAGGTTTAGAAAAATGGGGAGGAGGAGGAAAGGGAGAAGAGAGGGGGAGGGAGGTATGGGGAAGGATTGAACCATCAGAGGATCCAGGTCCAAAGGACAGGATACTGTACCCCTTACCCAGCTGTCAGGCACTTACCAGGTGGTGACACAGACTCGATGGATGAGGCCAGATGCAAAAAGAGCCAACAGGAGGCAGAGAAGAACTGGGGAAGCAAAAGGGGACAAGGAGGGTAAAGGTCAGAATGGAAATACCAGGCATTCATATGTGAAGTCTAGGAAAAATCTGGTGCCTTCCATATCTTGGGGACTCTTCTTGGAGGGATAAGGCATAACAGCAGGAAAAACGCAAATGGCCTTATTGATGTCCAGGACATGGAGGTAGAAGATGCATGCTCATCACCAGCACTGCCCCAGGCATCACTTAACTTCCCTATCCTGGCTTTCTTCTGGAGAAAAGGGAAAGGAAAGTGATAGCGGAGTCTGAAGGCAAGGCTTGCTCCCATTTGGGGAAGAGGGTCAAGACCTTTCCAACAGAAGCCGGCCAATGGGGATCAATTCATTAAACTAACGGGCCTCACTCCCTGGACATCGGTTGAAGGACAGAGTGCCTGGATACACACCCATGAGGGCAGAAAAGGGTCTGGGGCTATCTAGACTAGGACCGAAGAGAAGGTGGGAGCGCAGAAAGCAAGCGCAAACCCTACCTGCCCACTGGGGAGAGCAGGGCAGGCAAAGAAGATCCAGAATCCTGCCCCACAACAAAAGTTTCTTTCACAATGAAGACAATTCACACAGAAACAAAACCTAATGGAGAGAAGTACTGGGACTGCTGGACAGGAGCTCCGGAAGTTTGCAACAAGGCTAGGTGGACAGAGCAAGACCTAGAGGACGACAATTATAGATCTGTGTTCTACCAGATGAAGGCATCATAGTAGGTGGTATCTGCTATCAATTTTTGTTTGTTTTTATTTATTTTTAGAGAAAGCGGAAGTGAGAGGGAGAGAGAGATAGAAACATCGATGAGAGAGAATTGGCCACCTACTTCATGCCCCCCACTGGGGTTTTGGCCCACAACCTGGGCATGTGCCCTGACTGGGAATCGAACCAGTGACCTCTTGGTGCATGAGTCAACGCTCAACCACTTAGCCACACTAGCCAGGCTTGTTTGTTTGTTAATCCTCACCCAAGGATATTTTTCCATTGATTTTTTTTAGATAGAGTGGAAGGGAGGGAGGCAGGGGGAGAGAGAGAAACATGGATACATCCACGTTGATTGGTTGTCTCCCGAATGACCATGACCAGGGCCGTGGATGGAATCTGCAACCCTTGGGTCCATAGGCTGACACTCTAACTGCTGAGCCAAACCAGTCAGGGCTGCTGTCAATTTTTTTTTAACATTTATAAGATATATTATTTTTCCAACCAAAGTGCAGTGGTTTTTGTTTTGTTTTGTTTTTTTATCCTCACCGGAGGACATTTTTCCATTTTTTGTTCAGGTAGAGTGGGAGGGAGAGAGAGGAACAGAGAGAGAGAGAGAAACATCGATGCTAAAGGAACACATCGAGCGGCTGCCACCCGCACAACCAACCAGGGCCGGGGACAAACTGCAACCGAGGTACGTGCCCTTAGCGGGAACCGAACCCGTGTCTCTCCAGACCGCAGGCCGACGCTCTAACCGCTGAGCCAAACCGGCCAGGGCAGTGCAGTGGTTTTTAAATCTTCTTAAATGAATCTGCTTTCTTTAAAACAACAATGAGATATCACCTCACACCTGTCAGAATGGCCGCCATCAACAAATCATCAAACAAGTGTTGGCGAGGGTGTGGAGAAAAGGGGACTCTAGCACACTGCTGGTGGGAATGCAGACTGATGCAGCCACTATGGAAAACAATATGGTGTTACCTCAAAAAATTAAAAACTGAACTGGTTTGACTCAGTGATCCCACTTCTAGGAATATACCCTAAGAAGCCTGAAACACCAATCAGAAAGAATATATGTACCCCCATGTTCATAACAGCACTATTAACAATAGCTAAGATCTGGAAACAACCCAAATGTCCATCAGTAGACAAATGGATAAAAAAAGCTGTGTACCCTGGCCGGTTTGGCTCAGCGGTTGGAGCGTCGGCCGGCAGACCAGTGAGTCCTGGGTTCAGTTCCCGCTAGGGGCGCGTACCAAAAAAAAAAACTCAGCTTAAAAAAAAAAGCTGTGATACATATAAACAATGGAGTACTATGCAGCTGTAAGAAAGAAAGATCTCTTATCCTTTGAGACGACATGGAGAGACCTGGAAAGTATTATCCTAAGTGAAATAAGCCAGAGAAAGACAAGTATCATATGATCTCACTTATCTGTGGAATATAATGAACATAACAGTCTAAGGAATGGGGTAGTCCCAGAGACGTGGAAGTGGGGTACAGACTGACAATCCCCAGAAAAGGGGGTGGTGGGGGAGAGATAAACCACAGAACTTAAATGCATGTATGCATGAAGAATGGACATGGACAACAAAGCTGGGGACAGGGCAAGGAGGGAGGGAGAGGGGGGGAAGGAGAAACATCTGTAACAAAAATAAATTAATTAATTTTTTAAAAAGTCAAGAAAACAAAAATAAATAAAAAATAAATAAATCTGCCTTCTGCCCTGGCGGGGTAGTTCAGTTGGTTAGAGCGTCATCCAGATACACCATGGTTGCAAGTTTGAGCCTGGTCAGGGCACATACTAGAATCAACCAATGAATGCATAAATAAGTGGAACAACAAATTGATGTTTCTCTTTCTCTCTCTCTTTCCTTTCCTCTCTCTCTAAAATCAAATACATTTTAAATATTTAAAAATAAAATTTAAAATCTGCCTTCCCATCCATGATCTTGTTCCAAACTTGAAGGTTGTCTTGATTTATTGGAAACCCATCAACCAAGAATTTATTCTTCTGTCCAGCTGGTGTGGCTCAGTGGTTGAGCGTCGACCCATGCACCAAGAGGTCACCAGTTCGATTCCTGGTCAGGACACATGCCCAGGTTGTGGGCCTGATCCCCAGTGGGGGGACATGCAGGAGGCAGCCAACTGATGTTCTCTCTCATCGATGTTTCTAGCTCTCTCTCCCTCTCACTTCTTCTCTCTCTAAAATTGAGAAAAAAACAATTAAAAATAAATAATTAAAAAATAATAATGTATTCTTCTGAGCATTGGCATGCACTGTCTGATCCATTTTTCTCATTAAAACTGATGGGTCTGGCTAGTGTGCTTCAGTGGTTGAGCATCGACCCATGCACCAAGAGGTTACCAGTACGATTCTCGGTCAGGACACATGCCCAGGTTCTGGGCCCAATTCCCAGTGGGGAGCATGCAGGAGATGGCCAATCAATGTTCTCTCTCATCAATGTTTCTGTCTCTCTCTCCCTCTTCCTTTCTCTCTCTCTAAAATCAATAAAGAAAAAAAAAATTAAGCCCTGGCGAGTTTGGCTCAGTGGCTGGAGCGTTGGCCTGAGGACCAGAGAGTCCTGGGTTCAGTTCCCACCAGGGGCACATACCAAAAAAAAAGAAAAATTAGCCCTGGCCGGTTTGGCTCAGCCGTTGGAGCGTTGGCCTGCGGTCCGGAGAGACCCGGGTTCGGTTCCCGCTAAGGGCATGTACCTCGGTTGCAGTTTGTCCCCGGCCCTGGTTGGTCGTGCAGGTGGCAGCCACTCGATGTGTCCCTTTCACATCGATGTTTCTCTCTCTCTCTCTTCCTCTCTCTCCCTCCCACTCTATCTGTACAAAAAATGGAAAAATGTCCTCAGGTGAGGGTGAAAAAAAAACAAAAACAAAAAAAACAAAAGAAAAATTAAAAACTCATGGTTATCTCAGCTGGTACAATCATTCCATCTTTTTAAAAAATATGCTTTTATTGCCCTGGCTGGTTTGGCTCAGCGGTTAGAGTGTCAGCTTGCGGTCCAGAGAGACTGAGGTTTGGTTCCCGCTGAGGGCACCTATCTCGGTTGCAGTTTGTCCTGGCCCCAGTTGGGTCATGACCCTGGTTGGGTTGTGTGGGAGGCAGCCACTCAAAGTGTACCTTTCACGTTGATGTTTCTCTCTCTCTCTCTCCTTCCCACTCTATCTGAAAAATAGAAAAATGTCCTCGGCTGAGGATAAAAAAAAAAAAAAATTAAAAATATGCTTTTATTGATTTAAGAGAGGGAGGGAGAGGGAGAGAGAGAAACAGATCTGCTGCCTCCCACACACCCCCCTACTGGGGATCAAGCCTGCAACTCAGCATGTGCCCTGACCTGAATCAAACCAGCAACTTCTTGGTGCATGGGACATTGCTCAACCAACTAAGCCACACCAGCCAGGGCTCTTTCCATTTTTAATGTATTTTTCAATGAGTTCACCATAATGTGAATCTGAGTTTTTCCTTTCACCACAAATAAGTTTCCTTGCAGAAAGGTGTGTATAGCTATATTTCTTTTCTTTTCTTTTTTTAATCCTCACCTGAGGACATTTTTTCATTTTTTGTTCAGATAGAGTGGGAGGGAGAGAGAGGAAGAGAGAGAGAGAGAAACATCGATGGGAAAGGGACACATTGAGTGGCTGCCACCTGCACGACCCAACCAAGGCCAGGGAGGAACCACAACCGAGGCACATACCCCCAGCAGGAACCAAACCTGGTCTCTCCAGACCGCAGGCCGACACTCTAACTGCTGAGCCAAACCAGCCAAGGCTAGCTATATTTCTTGACAATGCAGATACCCTGGGTCCCTTTGCCGGCACTGGGACCTCCAAGAACGAACACGACCAGCGGCGTCATGAGGCAGTGAGAGGAGAGAAAGCAGCCGGCGGGTCAGCAGCAGGAAGCTAAGGCCCATGAGGTACAGAGGCTCTGCATACAGTGTCTCAGCTGCAGCAGGAAGGGGAGGGGCTGCTGCTGCCAATTTTTGAGCATGTGGCATTCTTACTGTGATCTGGCCTTGATGCCTAATTTGCTTTATGAACTTAATTCTCCAAAAATAACTAAATCATCAGATCTCAAATTCATGAGCAATAACAGGATCACTTCAAACAGGAAACAACCTAACAGTAATTCTCATTTGGTCAAGATTCCTGCTGACACAGAAATGGTGTATCTACTACTTAGGCTCTTCACAATCATCTCAAATAGAATTCACTAACATTGGGGCAATTTCACATCAGAACCCCTCAACAAACTTGGTCCTTCCTGCTGCTCCTTTTGGTGGGAACAAGGAACAGCTCCCCATGGATGTATCCAAACTTACCTGCTCCCCTGAAACATTCCCTGGGAACTAGCCATAAGGCAACTGGGTTTCTTGGTTTCAAAGGCCTTCTCTTCCACCTCTAATTCCAGGAGCTAGCTAGAGTGCTGGATCCAAAAGTGTGATCTGTCTCCAGACAGTCTTATTAACCTACTTCCTTCTCCTAAACAACCTTTACCTTCTAAGCACCTGAAAATTCAGGTCGGGGGAGGTTTGAGGAGAGGGTTCAAATTCTCAACCCCCAGTTTTCACTTACTCTCAGGGAAGATCTTTGCTTGGAATCCTTTGCCAAAGACAAGATTCTCCAGATTATTGAAGGCCTGGGTTGGGGGAATTAAGGAGTAGGGCAGAGCTGTATGGGCAATGGGATCAGCACAAGCCTGTGTGGCCCTCCACCCTTCCCACCCTCAAACGCCTCGCCCCCCTCCACCGCAGGAGGATACAGTGAGAGAGAAGACGAAAAGGCCGGAGCCAAGCAGGCCCCCCTGGATGGTGAGCCACTCGGTGGAGGCCAACTGGCGGCTGTACATCTGCATCCCGGCGAAGAGCAGCAGGGACAGGAGGGAGGACAGCGCCAACGAGGTGCCCGTACCCACCACTGCAGGAGATGAGAGAAGAGACGCAGAGTCAAGCCCAGTCCTCCCCCGTCCTCCCTCAAGGAGCCGCAGGCGGACTCGGCAGGCCCCAGAGTTCCAGTGCCCGACCACTTCCAAGCGCTCCCCGGCCTGCAGCTATAATCCCCACACTACACGACGACCCTCAGAAATACCTCAGCCCCGGCCCCTCACCCCCTTCCCCGGTCCCGTGCAAACTGGCCCAACCCCCTGGAACTCAGGACACGTCAGCTCTGCGGGGAGAGGACCAGGAAAACTGGTCTGTCCCAACTCCGACCCCCACTAGCTTGTGCGGGGTATCCCGCCGGTCCCGTTACCCATCACGCCCTGCCGGTGGGTCCAAGAGACTCCTCTGGCCCAGAAAAACGGGAGACGGACAGGGTGCCGTTGCCTCTGCGCCTGCGTCAGCATCCTGCGCGAACTTGCTTCCCCCACGTCTTTCTCTTTCTCCCTCTCGGTGCCTGGACGTGACGCCCTCTTCCGGCAAGGAGGAAATATTGCGTCAAAGGGCATCTTCGGCCACCGCCCTAGTCCCCGGCTCTTACCCGTACCCCAGCAACAGACGCCTCTCAAAGCAAGCGGCACTTAACTCTTCAAGTCACTAGGACTATGGCCCATAGCCTCTAGCCCATCTCTGTCTTCTTTGCCATTTATGTCACCTCTAATGCTTGTTCCTCAGACCTCCTCCATGATCATCGCCTCAACATTTCTCGTAGACTCTTTTTAAAAAATTGATTGGGGTGACATTGGTTAATATGATCATATAGGTTTCAAGTGTACGTGTCTCTTTTTTTTCCACTGTGTTTTTTTAAAATGTTTTTATTGATTTTTTAGAGAGAAAGGGAGAGAGCGAGCGAGAAACATCAATGTGAGATAAAGATCAATTGGTTGTCTGCCCCACGCACCCCACCCGGGATCAAACCGGCAACCTCGGTATGTGCCCTAACGGGGACTCCAGCAGGAGCGTTGAGCAAAGGACGACGCTCAACCAACTGAGCTGCACCGGCCAGGGCTCAAGTCTACATTTCTATGATACAAAATCTTTATATTGTACTGTGTGCCCACCACCCAAAGTCGAGCCATCTTGCATCACCCCCCATAGACTCTTAGTTAACCAAAATCTAGCCCTGCCGTCCTGGAGCCCATGTTTCTCTAGACCTATCCTTCCGCTTTATGAGTATGATTAGGCGCCAATGGAGAGTGCGAACATAAGAAATGATTCTCCCTTCAAACACCATTCCATGTTACCCCCCCACCACCACTGCCTCCTGAGAACCACGTGGGGGAAACTATTTCCCACCTCCTACCCGGACTGTCGCTGGTTGAGGCTTCTCCCTGGAGCATGCGCAGTGATATTTTACCCACACCCCTCCCCACACCCCAACTGGGCTCGTGCTTTTAGCCTGGGGTTCTCTGCCGCTGCCGGGATCGGACACCCGGGGGCGGACGGGCAAGGCAGAAGCATGGCTGAGGGTGAGGATATGCAGACCTTCACTTCCATCATGGATGCACTGGTCCGCATCAGTGTGAGTTAAGGAGGGGTCGAGGGGAAGGGGAGGTGGAGTATAGGGGTCTGGGGAAGGCCGGGACCTGGAACAGGTGGGGATCCAGCGAGATGCTGGGATGCAGGCAGGGGGCTGGTGATGGCAGAAAGGACTGGGAGGGCAGGGATGCAGGTATGAGATGGTAATCCGGGGGCAGTCCGGAGGTGGGTGCCGTGAAGGTGTCCATCTGCTGGGGTGTGAGGAGCAAGGAGCTGCCCGGACGCAGCGGGTGGGCTGGGGTAGCGGCCAACCGTGCAGCAGGGCTGAGGCTGCGGGGCAATGGAGCTACTCTATGAGGAGGGGGCGTGTGTGGGCTTGGAAATTTTCCAAGAAAACTAAGGACAGGTGGGGGTGATGAAGGAGCTGCCCCAGGATGTATTTCCCAATTTGGACAGCTCCACAAGACCGCACCCCACCGTACCCCCACTCCGGGCTGCCTCTGAACCTCCTGTGGTTGTCATGGCAACCCATGCCCGGCTCTCCCAGGGGCGGTGCCAACCTCGTCCCCCCCACCACCACTTCCTTCCCCCTCCCTCCGTGTCCCTCCCTCCTTTGTGTCAGCTGCGCCCCTGACCGGGATGGCTGCGAAGAGGGGGATCAAGGTGAGGTGATGTGGTGGGGCATAGCTTGAGGACCCCCTCCACTAAGAAAGGGAGGAGTACTTCCGGTGGGGAGGGGGCGAGTAGGTGAGGCGCTTCTTTCCCCCTTGCTTGAAGAGGGGTTTGCGGCTAGCCCAGTTGCGCCGGAGGATGAGAGGGAGGTCCGGATGGGGGTGGGGGCGAAGGAGAATGGGTTAGTATCGGGGGACAGGAGGAGACGGCTGGGGAAGTGAAGGATGGTAGATGGAGTCTGGGGAGGCTGCAGGCCGGAGCCGCGGCGGGAAGGGGAAGACAGCCGTGGTGAGCAGGAGGATGGAGAGGGAGCTGCGCCTGCCTATAGGAAGGAGTCACGCGCGGGAGGGGGGCGAGGGGTGTGCTAAAGAAGGGGAGGGGGTCTGCACCTAGGTGTCGAATGGGCGGTGTCCTTGAGAGAAGTGCAGGGGGCAGGAGCAGAGATGGGGGAGGGGGCAATGGGCCGGTAAGAGGGGCTGTAGATCCCGCAGAGCAGGGGGAATAAAGGGGGTTGGGCTTGAGGCTGGGGGTGGTAGGATCTCCAACCATCCCCCTCAGGCCTGTAGCTCTGCGGGTGGGAAACAGGCAAGAGACCGAGCTGGGAAGGTCTGTGAACCAGGCCAAGGCTGGTGCCGAGGAAAAGCCATAGGTAGCTTGCCTTGCCCCTTCCTGAGACCCCTTGGGTCTCTAAGGGCAGCTGAGGGGCCTGTCAAGATATGCCCAAGTGTCCAAGCTCTGACCTAACCTCCTGGTCCCTCCACAGACGAGCATGAAGAACATGGAGAAGGAACTGCTGTGTCCAGTGTGCCAAGAGATGTACAAGCAGCCACTGGTGCTGCCCTGTACCCACAACGTATGCCAGGCCTGTGCCCGTGAGGTGCTGGGCCAGCAGGGCTATCTAGGCCATGGCGGGGACCCCAGCTCAGAGCCCACCTCTCCTGCCTCCACCCCATCCACCCGCAGTCCCCGCCTGTCCCGCAGAACTCTCCCCAAGCCAGAACGCTTGGACCGACTGCTTAAGTCAGGTGGGGATGGGGCCTGTGGGGCGGGGGTGAGGATGCTGGGGTGTCCATCAGGAAGATAGAAGGGGTCATCCCTGGTCAGGGCATTTGCCTGTCTTTCAGGGGGTGGAGATTTTGCTTAGTTAGGCTCAGCTGACCTATAACATAATAAATTAATTTTTTAATTGAACAGACTTCTCCAACCCTCAGCCAGCTATAATTTTCACCTCCCTACCTCCCTGGCCCATCCACAGGCTTTGGGACATACCCCGGGCGGAAACGAGGTGCTTTGCACCCCCAGGTGATCATGTTCCCGTGCCCAGCCTGCCAGGGTGATGTGGAGCTTGGGGAGCGGGGCCTGGCAGGCCTGTTCCGGAACCTGACCCTGGAGCGTGTGGTGGAGCGGTACCGCCACAGTGTGAGTGTGGGTGGCGCCATCCTGTGCCAGCTGTGCAAACCCCCACCACTAGAGGCCACCAAGGGCTGCACCGAGTGCCGTGCCACGTTTTGCAACGAGTGCTTCAAGCTCTTCCATCCCTGGGGCACCCAGAAAGCTCAGCATGAGCCCACCCTGCCCACCCTCTCTTTCCGCCCCAAGGTGAGCCAGCCATTGCAGGGCCTGGGAAGGGAGGAGCATGGTAGAACTGGATGGGTGGGGGTGCCTGGCATCGTGAGCCTTCAAAAGGAGGTGAGCGGGGTTTGCCATTGCCAAGCTTGTTTTTCTGTAACAACAACAAAAGTCACTGGACAAATCTTTGAACATCTTTGAGCCTTCATCTCATCTGCTGAATGAGGCTGATATCTGTCCTGCAATATCCACATCCGCAGGGCAGTTCAGAAGATCACATGAGATAATGTTTGTGAAAGTTATCTGTACACTAAAAGGTCTGTATGCATTTATTCATTGAACAAATACGTAGCGAGCATCTATGTGCCTAGCGCTATTCTAGGTGTTGGTATATGATAGAGAACAAGATGAACAAGGTTACTTATTAACCACAAGGCTAAGATTAATTGCCATCTTTATTATTGTTATCACACCTCTCCTGAGGTAGATGAAGGGAGGAGCAATGCTGGTGCCTGGAAGGTGCAAGAAAGGCTCTCTTTGGTGATAGTATGTACCACCAGGTGGCACTATCCACCAGCTGAGCTCCTCTCCACCCCCATCTGACCAGTGGAGGGAGGGCACCAAACTGCTCCTGTGGTAGGTCAGCACCCTTATGCAGATCATTGGCAGACTATGCCGTTGCTCTCTCTGTCCCTAGGGCCTAATGTGCCCAGATCACAAGGAAGAGGTGACCCACTACTGCAAGACATGCCAACGTCTGGTATGCCAACTCTGCCGAGTGAGGCGCACCCACAGCGGGCACAAAATCACACCGGTGCTCAGTGCCTACCAGGCCCTCAAGGTGAGGATCCCCCCACCCCTCGACTTAAACCATTTACATCCTCTCACCTCCTTTTAACTGCTAGCTTCTGCCAAGCTGGGTATGATGCCCACCTTTTTCTTCCTCCTCAGGACAAACTGACAAAGACCCTGACATACATCCTAGGAAACCAGGACACAGTACAGACCCAGATCTGTGAGCTGGAGGAGACCGTGAGGCACACTGAGGTGAGGGAGAGCATAGAGGTGGCCCTTGGCCCTACCTGGGCGTGGAAACCACAAGAGGGTGTAGATAGGCACGACCCAGTCACCTGGTTGCAAGCTCAGGAAGTGTGGGGTCCATGGATGTGTTGAGGTCTGGTTAAACCAGTTGGCAGGAACATCAGTGCTCCAGGCCAGGCTCTACCTGGAGCTTCAGTGCGGACAGGGTGGCTATTGCCTAGGACAGAAAGAGTTTGAAAAGCCCCAGAGATGTAGCTCAGATGCCCTCAGGCTCAGATGCCTGCGGAAGATAGCACATATCCTTGGAGCTAAGGTAAGGCGATAGCTCTGATGCCTTCTTCAAGATTGTATGAACTAGCTGACATGGGGGTGGACCGTAAGGATGGCACAGGTGCTAGTGGATGTTAGTGCAGTCCAAGTGGACCTTAGTGCGCTCATGATCTCTTTTATTTGGGGGAGTCCTTTAGAGATTATGGTGTGGGCACCAGGAAGGTTAGCACAAATGGTCAGGAGTTGAGCTCATCTGGGTATACAGGTGCCTTTGGAACCATAAGCCTGGCCCTAACGAAATGGGTGGGTAGGATTTCCCCAGATCCTTTGTGATCCTAGCCATGGTGAGGTACCCCAGGAGGCTGGCACAAGCACTGCCTTCAAGAAGATAGTAAGTGTTGCTCTCTGGGCAGGTGAGTGGTCAGCAGGCCAAGGAAGAGGTGTCCCAGCTGGTGCGGGGGCTAGGGGCTGTGCTGGAGGAGAAGAGGGCATCGCTGCTTCAGGCCATAGAGGAATGCCAGCAGGAGCGGCTGGCCCGTCTCAGCACCCAGCTCCAAGAGCACCGGAGCCTGCTGGATGGCTCAGGTCTGGTGGGCTACGCCCAGGAGGTCCTTAAGGAAACAGACCAGCCTTGCTTTGTGCAAGCAGCCAAGCAGTTACATAACAGGTACTTCAGGGCACAGCTCAGGGACATGGGCTCCCGGGGGGGCAAGGGCATCGTGGGTGTAGCTGATTTCCAAGACAGTGTCTCAAGTACCGTCCAATGGAGAGCTGGGCCCTGAGGATATTCACTAGGCCAAACCAACATCTAGCTTGCCTGAAGGGACCAGGAAGAGACCCAAAGCAGATGCCAGGGCTCTAGGGGCAGGAAGGCAGAATCAAGGAGAAGGGTGGCTGCCCAGATGGCAGTGCCTGACCCTTGGGTGCCCCCATCCCAGGATTGCTCGAGCTACAGAGGCCCTCCAGACGTTTCAGCCAGCTGCCAACTCCTCCTTCCGCCACTGCCAGCTGGACGTGGGGCGTGAGATGAAGCTGTTGACAGAGCTTAACTTCCTTCGAGGTAAGGAGATGGCCAGACCCCATGTCCAATGAAAGCCTTCCTCCCTTCTTCCCCAGCAGCGGACCCGGGGGGCAATGCCCACCGGGGACCTCCCAGCCTACTGCCCGGCCTGGCCAGCCACCCCTCCCACCTAGTCCACTGGCCACACCATCCCACCGCGCTCAGCGCTGCTTCTCCCTCTCTTTGTTTGTAGGCTGTGGCCACCGCGGACTCTGCTCCGGAGCACCC